ATTTTTCTCTTCTGACAAATATATTTTTTGACTGCTGTTTTAATGAGCAGTAAATATGATGGAGTACAGACACAGCAGTTTGCTCAGGTAGGTATATGGCAATGTATATTCACACAAACACATATATATATTATTAGTAGAATTGATGATGCAAATATGCACATTATAGAAAACACTTTTAATGAATACGTCAGTAAAACAGAAATATATATAATATACATATTTCCATGTATATCCACCATACAGTTTTTGTGGAAGCACATTAAGAATCAGTTATTGAATGGCACTTGAGTAAGTTGTTTTATACATTGGATCACTTTCAGAATAGCAGTTAGATTAACTTCTGTACATGTTTTGTTATTCTGTTTAATCTATCAGTCTCCATACTTAATTTTTAAGGTGACTATTGTGACTGCAAATCTTATTTATAAATGTTCATCATAATATCTATATATGTCCATAGCTAACAGAAATTGCCCATAAAAGAGTTACATTTTTTCATTAAAACATTGATGCCTATATACTAGCTAATGTTAGACAAATTTAGGATATGAATTCTCGGATTATGTTGGGCAGGCCTAGAGAAAAATTTTTCCCCAGTAAACATTGATACATAACACTGCAAAAATGACCTAGGATAAAACTTGCTATATAATTTCTAAGAACTGCCACAGAAATTTTTGCATCTTTTTAGATTTTTTTTATTTTAAAATCAAATAAACAAAACATTTAGCATATGGAACATCTCTAGTGAAAAATTATGTCTGAAGTAGATGCTGTATACTAGGACATCTTCTAGTGCAAGGAGTAACTAAGCAGAATCTGGAAAATGTGATTAAGGCAGAAAAGAAAATAAAAGATCTAAATGGTATTCACAAAGATTAGTTAAATTCACTTTACATAGAATACCAGCAATGAAGAAAAAGGGAAGTTCAGTGAGGGGATTCTATTTGAAATCTTGTATTTTAAATAAAGCAAATAAAATTGGTTAAAGCTGGTGGATATTTTCTGGAAGAAGTCTTCAGTGGAAGAAATGCTTTGAGGAAACTCCCTATTGATTAGAATTACATTTCTGTGTATGCCAACAGAGGAGGCAGGTGGCTTTTGGACTCCACGTTAATAACTATCACAAATGAAGGACTACATCAAAAAAATAATCATAATCAAACACGTGCCAGTGTTGGCTTGGGCTATGTGTCACAGTTTGCTTTCAAACCATACATTGCTAATAAAAGATGACATCTTGCACTGGAACTTTGGCTCTGAAAAGTTGTACAGAAGAACAAGGGCACAAATATACTTGATACTACTTTTTAAGGTACAAGGAGAAAAATTACTTCAAGCCCAAAATGCTATTTGCTAGTTTACTAGCTACTTACCTGAATTGAGAACTAATTTTCTGAAATGTTGGCATAATCTGAATTAAACAGATAGATTTAAAAGCTGTTCATTCTCCTTTCAGAAAATTACAATGGCTTGTTACAAAGCATCATACCAAAATACTCAAAATGACAAACTGCTGTTGACTCTATGAGTTATCAGTCAGAAAACGAATATGAGAAAGCAGAGAATATGCAGCAGAAACAGCTATGATTTATGCCAGTGCTGTTATAATCACATCACAATACAGATTTTTTTCTAAATACCTCAGTATAATACTTTGTGTACTCATATTTATCATAGGTCAGTGCAGACATAGAAATAATGTCTTTATCTAATTATGATGTGTGCCTTGAAATACATTTAGCACAGATGACAGTTTTTAACCACTAATTTCAATTTACATAGTTAAGTATTATTTAAAGATTAAATTACAGCAAACAAGGAAACAAGCCTACACAGGGTTGTAAGGCCTTTGTCTGGAAATCATAAACATGATGAGAGCCATTAGCCTGTATACACTTGTTCATGAACACTGGGTTCATGGTGTTTAGAACATTTGTGAAGTTTTGACTGCAATTTGTAAGGCATGTTGGACAAAATATATTCATTTACTTGAAATATGAGAGGAAGAAAGAATTTAAATATAGTTGCATTGCTTAAATAACTGGAAACATTTGAATAACTGAATAATTTTAAAAATCATGTGTTAAAGAACTCAGCTTCCTTCTTTTCAGCTTATTAGTATTTATGCACTTATAAAGACAATTCATAGTCAATTCATTAGTAATTAAGAAATAAAACTTAAAATACCATGAGCACAGTATTAAGTATAAGACTGACATTGACTGAAGATTTACTGAAGATACCACAGCAACAAAATATAAGACAGGACTTCTCAGAAACTATTTTGTTTCCAAAACTACCTTGTTTTTGAAGATCTTTGTGTTCTGGGAATCATGAAAATGTCATAAATAAATGAGAATAAAAAAAATAATTTAATGATACTCAGCAGGTTTCTCCTCTAGGTACTTGACGAAAACCTTCTGTAAATTCATTAAAACATCTTGCATTTGCAGGGTTATTCTCTGAGTTGTTCTGACAGAAACACAGAATGAACAGTTCAATCTGACACTGAACTCTGAAGCCTGTGAAACATGGCTTTAAGTTAATCTTTAGCCCAAAATGAGTGGTTGAATTTGGTATGAGCAGCAGCAAAATAAGAGAAGAGGACATGTACAGGAGGAGGAGCACTAGGATGATCAGAGGGTTGGAGCATCTCTTTCATGAAGGCAGGCTGAAAGAGGTGGGGCTGTTGAACCTGGAGAAGAGAAGGCTCCAGGGACATCTTATTGCTGCTTTTCAGTACTTAAAGGAGGCTTATATAAAAATGGAGAAAGAGTTTCTACCAAGGCCTACAGTGACAGGACAAGGGACAACGTTTTTAAAGTAGAAGAAGGTAGAGTTCAGATTGGACACAAGAAAGAAATCCGATATGATCAGCGTGGTGAGACAGTGGAACAGCTCCAAGGAGCTGCGGATACCCTGTCATTAGAAAAGATAATAGTTTGTACTGATTTTTTAAATACGAATTGTAAAAAAAGCCTAGAACTTATAAATAATTATATATAAATATCATTTTCATGAATCATATGACATTTTAATTAATGTTTTTCTCTTTAATACTGTTAATTCATATATGTTAATTCATAGGACACTTGATAGGACATTTGTATACCCTTAATTCACAAAAGCACATTAAATATTACTAAGTTATGAATGATTTAATTAAAATTTTATTCATGTTTTCTTTGTCCTGAAAAATGGCTTCCATTTTTCATTGTTTTTCCACTTTTTTTATTTTTATTTTTTTTTGGAAAAAGATTTTGCTTCCTATGAACTTCATAAATTCCTATGAAGTTCATGGAAAGTAACATTTTTATCTTAAATTACAATACAGGTCTAGTTTGCATTTCAGTATATACAAGATTAGCAATATTGTGGAAGAATATTGACAGCATAGACGCAATTTACACTTGTTACCATCATAATAAAGATATCTGAATAAATTTTTGACTAGGAGCATTACTATCTTCATCTTTCCATAAAATGATGGAGACTAGGCAGTGCTTTTTCTGAGTACCCACTAAAATGTGGTTGACACACTTAGATTTCAGACAGTTCACCTTATGGCATGTTTGACAATTTTAATTGTAGCAGTCACTTGGCAATAGATTATGTTGCTTTCTACTGTATTGTTTCTTTTCTAATGCAATTGCCATCCTAATCTCACACTGCCTAACTCCTGATTACTTAACAAAACAATGACCTTTTTTTTAATTAATGGTGCAATGCTTTATTCTAACATACAATACAGTACATATAATACAAGAAGTAATGGGTACAAACTGAAAGGGTGCATTTAGGTTAGATATACAGAATATATTATTTACTATACTTTTTTTATATATATAAAATATAGTTGGAGGGGGGAATCTTTTTTTTTTTTTTTTACTGAGCTACTGCATTTTAATTCTGTTGTACTATTCTTTTGTGTAATACCTTCTAAACTGATAGTCACATTTTATTGATGAATTATACAAGACTATTTGCTTAACAAAAAGAAGCAAGGTTACATAAGTGAATTTAAAATTCATCACTTTGTGCAAACAAACAGAATGGAGTGGGAAGAATAAAAGGGTTTGGATTAGTGGAGTAATGAGGTGGGAGGAGTTGACTTAAGATAGAGCATAGGAACAAATTCTGGAGTCAAAAGGGCATTTTCAGCAATTGGTGGTGGCAGTATTGCAGCAAAGGAAAATAGGTATTGAAGAGAAGTGGAACTCAGAAGAAAGATTTCCTGTTCCACTCAGAAGAAAGATTCTACCATCAGCAGCAGTGTTGAGTAGTAGCAGTAAAGCCTGAGCACATTTTGCCAGCAATTAGTGCAAATGTCAACATAGGGCATACTCAGGGTCTCAGTGATTTTACTGAGACTTGGATGTGTAATAATATAATATGGAAATTGATTCCATACTATTTACTTCATAAAGCAAAGTCTTTCATCAGTTGTACTTAGTTTTTTTAAGGCTGACAGGAAAAACTGATGGGTGAGACATATAGACTTTGTTGATTTATCTTTTTACAGACACTTGAACAATAATAGCTAAAATATAAACTGGGAATTGTGGAATTGCTATAATAGCACACACTCCTTTCCATGAAACACGAGATGAAAATGGAAGATTATTTTCAAGCTCTCAGATGAGACTGAAACCAAGAAAATGATCTTATCTCAAAACAAAGGACACACCAGCAAAACAAACCATCAAGCTGAATCAGTGTGGGCTTTCATGTGAAATTAAAGAATAAAGATCTGATGCTTGTTTCAGATTGGTATCAGTATTGACTTTTCAATAGCAAGTACATAACAGAATACCACTTCTCACATAATTAGAAGTCAGTCCCGGATTTTGATTAAAGCATGAGTGATTTGACAAAAAATGATCAGTTTCTATAACAAAGAGAAGGACATTTTAAGGATGTGCTACTTATCTCAAAATATTAGAAATAACGAGAAATAATAACAGTGTGATGGAAAAAAATTCTTAGAACTTTACCTTTGTGGCAGCATCAAAACAGACAAAGCCCATGCTAAAGTCGATGGTAAGTCCCATAAGATGACTCTCTAAAACACAGGCATACGTCTTGCACTGTAAAAGAAAAATCAGAGAAGGTAGTCACCATAGAAGACATTTCTTAAATTTTTTTATAGGACCACTGTTTCTCACTCTTTATTCTAATGTTTCTGTATCTTAAAATTATTAGCAGAAATAAGTCATTTGTGTGTAAATATGTCAAATTTTTTGTCAGTGTATTTCAAATCAAAGGATTTTTTATCAGCAATGAAGTTGTTTAAGTCATAGGTAAGCAGGCTTTGCTTCCATTAGGGAAAAAAATGAAAGAGGCTCAGAATTGCCTCAATGGCTTACTAATAACATTTTCTGAAAGGAAAATGTTATTATTTTCAAACCTCCTTATTTGCTTTTCATACCCAGTAACAACTTTTAAGATTAATATATTCCTTTTATCTTTTCAAGGGGAAAAGGAAGCATATGCAAAGTATCTCTTCGGTACACTGTTTCTTGTGGTTTTTTTGTTGTCCCAAATCTCAGAGAAAAAAGTTAGTATTTCATACCATTTAGCTGTTAATGGAATTATCTGAAATATCTTGGTTTTTTTTTCTTCAGATAGTGGGCCAATATATCTCAAAGGTTTCTTTGTGAAATCTTGGAATTCTGAAAGACTTTATCATTCTACAGGTTTTAAATATATGCTTCTATTTATTTCCATAACATCACACTTTAATACATACTGTGAGACATTTGTAAGTGTATTTTTCTGCATCAAAACTACTGCTGTGCTTGAAGGCTGACTTCAGGTACAAAATGACAGACTTCTTTTTCTCATACAAAATATGTAAAAAAATATTAAAACATTTTTAAATCAGATGCAAGTTCTTTAAAGAAATTATTCTTATTTTATTTTTCTATTTTACCCTCCAGGTTAAATGAAATACAGCTATATTCTTCAAATATTGCTGTAGCTGCTGAAATTATGAAACAAGAACAAACACTTCCATGACCTATAATGTGTTAGCAAACTCAAAATATAAATTGCAAACACAGGAACAATGTGGGTTATTAATTGCATTACAAAAGAACCTATGATTACTTTTGGCATTTTGATTATCAAGGATAAATCACGTCTTATATATTCTTTGGGTGGGCTCTTTGGATTCCAGATGGTCTTCCTCTGAACAAAAGAAGCTGGAAGGTCCATTAGTACCTTCTAAACAGAAAATGCAATGCAGGAGAATTGAAAAATTCATACTTAGTGTTTATACTAACAAATAAAATTGGCTTTTTTCTTTGATCAACTACACCAAAAGACTGCTAAGAATGTTTAAAATTTGATTGTAAATCAGTGTTGAAAAAGAAGAGGATATTGCCTTTGGTACTATCTCATTAGTAGAAGAAAAAAGTGTAAAGTAATACATTTCACAGACACAGTTAATTAAGTCACATGCAAAATTTTTCAAATTTTGCATGCAAAGCAAAAAATGGACAGTTTTGTGGAATTATCTTGCAATATTTTCCAATATGCAAATTACATTTTTATTTGTAAACGCTCAAGATCTGGACCAGAGTTAAAGCCTGCACTGGAAAATAAATTTGGCACGGAAAATATGTATCAGATTTAAAATATGTATTGTCATCTAAAGTTATTTAACCTCCTATCCCAACACCAGAGGCCAACCTACAGTATGCACTGCAGCTCCATGCTGAGCTGGCACAGCTCTCGCTGCTGAAGCCCAGCACTGCACCTGGCTAATTAGGTTTTTGCAGGTTTTGTATCTACTTGCACATGATTCTGGTAACAGGTCAGAGCAGGGACGTGACCTTTCAGACACTAGTTCACTCTTGTAAGACTTTTCTCATCTTTATTTTCTTTAAGTTGCCTTTTAATTCAGATATTTGGAGGAAATAAAGGCAAAAATTGTTATCAAGATACATGATAATTTAAAATTCCTTATACATTTAACATTTTAAAACTTTAGAAGTGACTATGAATAATATATACTGGGGATGTTTGGCTTTGGTTGCTGATTTCTCACAAGAACTAATGAAAACCTCATCAGAACTGAAGCATCTCCTTCCCAAAAGAAGTGGAACACACTTCAGCAGGCATTTGCTGTTCTTCCACAGAATACAGAATGTTAACTTTGGTTTGCCAATAATTCAATAGGTCAGGCAGAGGCTGAAGGAGACAACTCGAAGCTGCTCCTTAGAAACTATTCCCTCAACACACATGGTTTAAATTATGGAAAGAACAATATATTGTGAACTTCATGCATTCCACCTCTGAAGCTGAAACAAAGTGAACTATAAATCTAAGAGTTAATTCAGAGTTTTAAACTCAGATTTAACTTAAATGAAAACATATGTTAAAGTACCGCAACAGAAAACAGCTTACATAATAATGTTTACATTAGAGAACAAACACCCACAATACAAGCAAGAATAGCAAGAAAAAAAATCATGACATAAGCGGTGAAAATATTAGCTTAAAGTAGCAGGAACACAAAGTGAATGTGACAGTCATATATATAATTGCACATCATTATGCAAGTTATAGTAGTCTCAGATTCCTTGTGGAACAGTACTGTGAGAGAGTAAAGAAAAAGGATTTTCATTTCAACTATTCTTTTTTAAATGGGTAATTATGAAAATGGATTATCATCACTTACGACATTATAAAACTAATTAAAAAGTGACTGTAACACACCAAAATGACATCACTGTATCATTGTACCATGTTATTGCTAAATTATTATCAATATGACTATACCTCCTTTAACACATTTCTTTTCCAAGAAAAAACAACTGTTTTAGATAACTTTTGTTTTAGATGTCCCTCTGGCAGAAGTTACGAATTAGGTTGAAATAGAATTCATTATACATTTATAGTAATGCATTTTAAAAATATTTGAATTTGTTATATATTCCTTGGAGTTAGATTAGACTTGCTGCCTGATTAACCTCTTCTGGAGGTTAAATTCTGGACCCTTCTGTCGTAAGAGTTTCTATTGCAAACAGTAAGAGTTACTCTTTGCATAATTATGGAGGAGCACACAATGCAGTTGAATAATTTTAAATGGTAGTTTTAAATTGAAGTTAAATTTTCAAAATTATTTTATTGTAAGGCAAACCTACTGGATTAGCATTCACTTTAAATATGAATATTCATATCAATATGATTGTATAAAACAATATTTTAATAAAAATGTACAGTAGATGCCTTCATTTTGAACCTGTTACCTTTTTTATTCTCACAGAGCAATGAAAGATCTTGTTGGAAACAAATTCTACCACTAGATTTTATCTGCATCAGCAAGTTGGTAGATCAAAGCAGTAACGGACTGAAGAAAGAAAAATGAGGAGGCCAAACCCAGTTGTATTAAAAATATTCTACATTTTTTCCAAATCAAGATATACAAAATAAAGAAAAAAAGGTGAAATAATAACTGTGAGTTCTACAATAATATTGTATCATGAGAAGCCCGTTTGTCCACTTTCACATATCTGCTATAATCAATCAATTAATCAATCAATGAATCAGGAAATCATTACTCTGAGTTCTTGATTGCTACATTGAACATCAAGGGAGACAAAAAAAAAACAGGTGAAAAGATTAAGATGAATCTGAGGTTAAGATTATAAAGGAAATCGTTTTGGAGAAGCCTGAGGGCAATTTTGAATAAGTATAATTCTAAAATCCAAAATAAAAATCTAAACCAAGAATGCTACAGTATGAATCAATCTGAAAGTAGAATGAATATGAGGTGGCTTCCGAGATAAAAATAATTCAAGAAAAATGCCATATATTCTTTTACTGGTGGCACAGCAGTGCTTCTACAAAGTGTATTGCAGTGAATTATATAAGAAAGACAAAAACTCTCAAATATTTAGTGGCAGAGGTCATTATTATTGAAAGTTTTACACAGAAATCCTAGTCTTAGATTTTCCAGCATGCACGTACAGCTTCAAAGATAAGAATAGGTTCTATAAAAGGTAAAAGCATATATGAATTTAAAAGAGAAAAGCAGAACCTCCCTTGACTCCTCTTGCAACAAAGGTACTCTGCATTAAAACTGATAGCAGTGTAGTTTTTGCAAATTGGATCTTCATTAGTACATACCAATTCAGTCCATCTGCCTGTGGTGGTTCACAGGTCAGAAAAGGGCTAATATATAACTAACTAACAGTTTGTCTGAATAAAAATATGCCAGTGCTTGCATTCCCAGGAGGACACAGATGTGTGATCCAATACTTGCACAGGCTAATATGCTAATATGGCTCGAGTAGGTGTGTATAACTCCTGCCAACATCAACTAAAGCTGTTCTAACCATATATATGTTTCATTATTAGAAAATCAATATTACAGTTTGGATTAGGTGAATTATAATTATGGTGGGTGGCTTTTTTCTCCTTTTTAAAGTCAAAAATTCATGACTTTTTGGTCACGTGAGAAGTTATCTTTAAACACTCTGATGTGTAATTTTGCTATAAAAAGTCACTAGTAATCTGTATTTGAATGTTGTCAATCTCTGCACTGTCATCTGACAATAGAATAAATAAGAAGGAACAAGAAATATGCAAAGAATAAATAATGTGTCTGAGGTACAATATTTGTTCTTGCTTGTATCCCATAAGCACTTCACTCGGTATATGCTCATTCCTGGTATCACAAGGACAACTTAATTCCTGCAAGGTTCTCTTGTGATATTCAGTAACAAATAAGGTAGCATGTAAACCAGGGAGAATATCTAAACAGCTGGATTTTTTCCCTGATCCATAGATTGTTTTTCCTTGTCTGTCCGTGAACTTCAGTTAACAAATATGTATCACGTTGCCACAATAACCCAAAGATTGTATTTCAGGTGACCTTTTCTGAAGGCTAGATTGCAAGCTGTTTGGGAACAGCAAAAACAATTACTTACATAAAAGAGTAACAACTGGAGAGCTGCAGAAGGTTATAATATTTCTTAAATTACATCATTACTTCATGTGAGCCTTATCTGTGAATGCACCCGAAGATGATCACCAAGGCAGTTCTCACCTGTATCCGTTCAACTTCTAAAAAAGTTGCTGTTTGGAAGGCTTTTTCCCATAGTGTTAGGTCAGACTCTAGTTCCACAGAAAAGTAAAGATCTTCTCCAGATTCAGACTGGACACTGAAGCAATGTTTCCGACGGTCCAGTAGATCACTGTCCTGATGAAAACCTGAAGTTATATAATCTGGCATACATCAATTAATATTTTTAATTGCAAATATTTATGCTTCAAACCCAGCATTTTTAAATGGCATTTTAAATGACAGGAGTAATCACAGTCGCCGAGGAACTGAAAATCAGGGGTTTGGTCTAAACATTGACATTTCAATGAATTATAAAAAGGATGCCTATATTCAGAATGGTACAGAACAGCTTATCTCAAGCAGTAACTTTAAATATTTTAACAAATCACTTCTTAAAAATGTTATCAGCTATACACTTTTAGATTAGATACATTCTTTGAAAGTTTTCCACTTTCTATTCACACAAGTAACACAAATATCAGCTTCTCTGACCTATTTGACTTACAGACCTTACTCTGGAAGGTCAGTCAAAGGAATATATTTATTTTAAGAAGTATGAAAAGTCCATATATTCTATTATCTTTATAGAGGCTAAAGAAAACAAGTTCATATTCTGGACGCTTACAAAATCCAACATACAATTAGTCTTTAAATGGATACTGCTGGTAGAGAATATAGTGGCTGCCCATGGTTAGGTTGCTGGCTTTGGTCCTAGAGGAGAAAATTACTTTTGGCTTTACTTTCAACATAATATCACACAATGGATACCAGGTTATAAATATTTAATAATTAATGATTGCTAGCTTTTGTAATCAGTACTAAACCAAAGAATTAGCAAGTTAATCAGGAAATTCATTCATTAAAATGTTTTCAATTTTTAAAAATTTTTATTTATGTAATATAAAGGATGCTTTATGCTAAAATTCAGGCATGTAATTTGCTCTTGTGAAAAATAGGTTTTTGGAAACAGGTTTAATTAATTTAGACCCTGCTACCTCAAGAGAAGTTGCTACAAGTCATAAGCTCACCAGCTGTCCTTGCCAATACATCTGGAGATTTGGGTATAAGTAGCCAGCTTGCAATTTCCATGAAGCTACTCCACAGCAAAGGGCAGAGTTAAGTTCAGTAAAGGAGACACAGGACAGTATTGCCTTCTGGTTATACACAACTTGAATAGACCAAGGGGAGCACAACCAGCTGATACAAGCTGGAAGAGCAGCTCACATTGCTCAAGTCAGCTCTCCCTGGGCAGAGAACCAGGAACCTAAAGCTGATTGGGAGTAAAACATATAGAACAGGAACCTGTCTGAAACCATCACTCTCAGGTACACAAGTAGGCATTGGGAGAGCAAGCACTAATTTCCTCCTTCCATTCATTCAGTAGAAATGTGAGAGACCTGTTCAAGAGAGCCAGTACAGAATGCATTCATGAATGCTTCAGGTTGAAGCCTGCTTTACAATTTCTAGAAGAATCAGCTATGAAGGCATCATACCCTCTCTTTGCAATCACCATGACCAAAATAAGTTGCTAGGATTTTAAAATGAGCAGCCACTGTGGAAAAATCTCCTTCCTTACTTCCATCAAGTGCTAAGCTTAGTATCTCTACAGTATTAAGTCATGTATGAAGAAATCAGCATGAACATATTTGATCTTAAAAGACAGCATTTCCAAAAGTAAGAATCTTCTTCCAGATTTTTTTTCCAAATATTCACAAGGATGTGTAGTTGAACCAGTTAGGTGTAGCTAAGTAATAGTCTATGTCCTATTGGAAATACCTTTTGTCTCTTTTTTGGTATTGCTTTCCACCTGCCCCCCCCCCATTTTTTTTCCCTTTTCATTGAGGCCCTTCTTCTAAAACTGAAATGTCAATTCTGTTCACAGCATTCAAATAGAGGTTAATAATATCCAGGTTGCTGCTAATGACATCTATGCTCCATTGCACACACAGCCTCAAAGCACACGAGCAGCAGCGCTGTGACAAATGTTTAACCTTGTGGATATGTGCAGCAACCAAACACAGCATCATAGAGTAGCTTGGGTTGGAAGGGACCTTAAAGATCACCCAGCTCCAACCCCTTATGGCCATGGGCAGTGAAACCTTTCGCTTGATCACGTTACTCAGAGCCCATCCAGTCTGGCCTTGAGCACTTCCAGGGATAGGACATTCAGAACTTCTCTGGGCAACTTGTTCCAGTGCCTCACTATCCCCACAATAAAGAATTTCTTCCTAACATCTAACCTAAACCTACTCTCTTTCAGTTTGAAGCAATTGCTCCTTGTCCTGTTACTAGATGCTCTTGAAAAAAGTCCCTCTCGATCTTTTTATAGGATCCCCTTAGATACTGAAAGGCCACAATAAGTTCACCCTGAAGCCTTCTCACTTCCAGGCTGAACAATCTCAATTCTGGATGTGCAAGAGCACTGGGAAACCCTCATTCCTCCAGGGCAGAAAAGCTAATTCTTTCAGAATAACAGCATTTCTTCTCTAACAGATCTTACACGGGGGCTTGAACTCCCTGTGCTTCCAGAGCTAAACCTGATTGAATGGGCCTGTTGGCCCATAGCCCAAAGGACCTATTCAGCATGGAGTGTGGCAAGACTCATGTGTAAGGTACATGTATTTCCTGGGGCAAGTTTTAGTTCTTCATAACCAGAGCCACAGAAGAAACTAAATATATTTTGAACTCATCTTTACCTATTCTTGACAAAAGTTAGTAGAGAATAAGTAATTATTAGTAATGCAGACTTTTAAAGCTTTTCAGAAACATGACTATGTGGGATCACAGGAATCATTGGCTTTAAAATAACTGAAATAAATAACCCCTTTTTTCAAATGGGAGAGAGCTTAGTGCACACAGTTCCAGAAAGCATATCTCTATTTATCTGAGCTAAGGTTTGATGCTTTTAAATTGCACTCTTCGACTCTTCCAGTCTTACAAGTGTTTTTGTCTCCTATTGAGAAGAATATGCTGTCTAGGAAAAAGAGAAGAGCTATTGTGTAGACTGTGAAAAACAAAATATTAGAAGTTTCACTGAGATTGATCTCTGTTAAAAAGCTTTTGAAAAATGCAAACATCTCCGGAGGCTTTGAAGTGATTAAATAAAAACTTAGGTATTTTATTATCAACATTGCTAGTAATAATTGTACTAGATTTTACTAAGCATTACATCAAACCTGATGATGAAAAAAGAGCCTAATGAGATCTACAATAATTGGCCAAGTTTTTACCATTTACGTATGAAGATGAGAGCATGCTTTGATTTAGGGAAGTATTTCCCCTCAGTATTTTGCATACAAAAAGTTTAGAATATTTCAACTACTACATTATATTGTGACAAACAACACACATAATGGACTAATTTATTTTTGGAATTTACATTCTGTGAAGTTCCTATTCAGAATGAAAACAAAATTCAACATCTCTCCACATATAATTTAACCAAATAATAATAATTTCAATTTGTGAATAGCTCTAATATATATACTTGTGATTTTGATACCAACATCTATGGTGAGGTCCATGATAAGAGAAATTTAAGTCAAATACATTTAAATTATGTATTGTAGTTTTTCTAAGATTGCAAACATACATATGAATAATATGTATAATATATAAATATTCCTTTCCTCATTAGTATTCCATCCTACTTGTAAAAACAGTTATATGCAAGGTTCCCTTTAGTACTGCTTCTGCAACTTCTTCTGCTTTTTCTGCACAATCTTTCTTTAATTTTGCATTTCTTCTCAAGCATTAAAAATCTGTATTCTAGGTTTATGGAATGCAATAATTTGTACAATAGATAACTGGACAAAACAATATGTAGGCAAAGCTAAAAGAGAACTATCCAAATGTTATTATAAAGGCAGGAATTTAAAGCACTTTTTTTCTTTTCTATTTTTTTAAGAAATCCAATCGGAAATTGTCCAAAAGTCTGCAAATTTAAAAAAAAACAACTTGTCAGGAGTCTCAAAACCAAGTCTCGATGAAGCAGGAATCTTCATTAACTAATATTTACCAAACCACTGCTTCAACTAAAATATAAATGTCATTGTACCAATTTAAGAATCTGCTATGACCCTGTATTATTATATTCACTTACTAGTCAATGATGGAAATGAGCCAATTTCATGTTGATTTTTTAAGAACCCTTTCATAGTGATAATGCTTAGTTGTACTGTTCGCCCCTGATATTCTCGTGAATTAACAAAACTGTCTGAAGAGAAACACACAAAACTTTTAGCAGTATACTAATTCTCACTAGAGGGAAGGTAGTCCTGCTGAAGGATGGGCTGTGATGAAAGACATTGGCTTACACCCAGCTTCAGGGTAATCCAGCATCTCTGCTGACAGGACAGTATGACTCCTGCTTGCCTAATTAATAATGATATCCATGTTAAGTGGGAGTAATAAATTTGTCCATGGGAACTAAGCATGGCTCATTAGGCAGGTCCTTCCAAATTAAGGCAAAATGCTTCTTTATCACTAAATAGTGACTTCGCCTTCTCTTTTGCAGGGCTAACCTCTACTCTTTTGAAAGACTAATCTTTCCAGAGGCAGCACTACTGCTTTCTGATTACTTGTGTCTTTTCATTTTAAGTATGATGAGTACATTAAATACTCATATTTTGGCTATTATTTTAATCTGCTAAGATGCATGAGTCCCTCACCTCTTGTGATAGTCAATGACAGTTGAGCTCTTCTATTCTAAAGCTCTCTGCAGCAGAAAGCAAAGCAATATTTGACACTTTCATGCTCATGGCATGATTTTTACCCAGGAGGTGCTCAATAATTTCCTGGAAGTCTGATTTACCTATGAAATTACATGTAATATACAGAGTGGCATATATATTTTGCCATGGAACTGTAAACATTAGTGACTGGCAAGCAGTTTTTGACATGAACAACATTTCATGTAAGATGTTCAAAACCATCCTACATAGATAAAATAGACCTTGACTTTCAAGAAAGTTCCATTTCAGCTTAAAATGAGGTAAGTATTCATGTTTCTCATATTAATTATAACACTTCTTCAAAACAAAGGAGAAAACAAACAAAATCTGTTTTTTTCTTTGTTGACTAATTTAGATAGTTCTGCCAAAAGAAATCTGTCCTATTATAATCAAGATTCAAAC